CCAGGATAGGAATTTTGTCAGGGACAGATACACTGCACCTTTTCAATAGCAAACAAGGAATTTTTGGATATCTGTTTCAGAAACTATAACATTTTTAATATCTTTAACTCCAAAAATATTATTTCCTGAACATTATGTATCTAAAATTAACACACTTATATAGATATACTACTTCTGAATTTTATTTATTTATCCATATACGTGTGTTAATTTTAGTATAATCTATTTCTATATGTCCTATAAGGATTATGTATCTAGCTATACAAAGTTTCCTTTTTTTATTTAATCATAAATTAAATGGTATCTTTGACAGAAATAGGCACGCAGAAACCCTTAACCGTAGTCAATATTTATTAACTGAAAATCATCAAGCTTAGAATAACAGTTTATTTCTGATTAGTATGGGACTCACAGATGAGACAGTACAAAATATACAGAAATGAAAAATATGAATTAAAATCATGCTCAACAATATAAACAGTGAGTTATTGACCAGAGTGCCTGACATATACATAAAAAATAACAATTCAGTATAAATACTTACACATTTATATACAATACAATTGCCAAATGTTTAGAGAGGCAAAGCTAAATTTCTTTTAATAACATTTTTATTTAAATTTATCACACAGTCTTGGCTTATCTTTTCATTGCTATTTTTACTTTCATACATATTTATCACATAAAGCCCAGTGCAGACTGACTAACATTGTTGGCATCTAACAAAACCAATGTTTTATACCTTTTTTTAAATTTCCCACAACGAAGAATGTTTAGCACAAACGACCTACATTTGTTCATAAAGAGACCGACGTTGATGTCACATGATTGACCCAAACGTCACCTGATTACAAAATTGCGATGTCAGCTATTTCAGCACCACGTGATTGTTATGAAATACTGATTGGATGTCCGTATAAAATGTTCGCTCTTTGTTGAAAATCAACGCGAACGAGACCAACATGTTTGATCTCGTGAACATTGTTTGGCCAACAAATGTTTGTGTTGAAATCCAACGCACGGCTAACTTTTATTGGAAAACATTGTTCAGCCAACAAATGTTAGCTGGTCTGCGATGGGCTTAATATGACAGTATGGTTTTTTATTCTAGTTACATAAAGTAGATTTTGAAGGGATGGTCAGTCATATCAATATTAAATATGGCATTCTTAAAATAAATTTAGCTGTCCCTTTAAAAATAAGAAAAGAAACATGAAGTGCATATGAATTTATTGCACATTATTATATTATATATTCCATTGTATATTGCTCACATGTTAAACAAAACAATTTATGAAGATCTATCTTATGGCCATTTTGGTTTGCCATTATCAGTGAAATTGTGTTACATTCACATAATTTACAAGATAAAACTAATTTTGATAATAAAGATGATTACACATTAAAATTCTATGCATCTAAACCATAAACACCGCAACACAAAGTTTTGACAATTTAACCAACGATCTTGATTCAATTTTGTCCAATTCTTATAACTTTTTCTGAAAAGCCCTATGATTTGATGTGAAATTCTAAGTAGTAAAGTTAATGGGCTCCAAATTTTAGACAAATAAACCCTAGAACATTATGTTTGGCAGCTTTGAAAACAATCTGTGATAACTGATACCTTATTTCTAAATCACGCTTTTCTAGCAACATCAACTAATTTACAAATATATAGTATCATATTTTATAGAAGTAATAGGATGTTCTTCCAACATCTGATTTTCAAAAACTGACCTCGAATCACCAATCAATTTACAATACAACAATAAACAAAATATGCATATTTAAAAGGACTGCAATGATATATTGGTATAAATAGAGAATCCTTTGACAAGAATCCTGATGGAAACAATGATAGAGAACCATACTTGTCCACAGTACAAAAGACTTCTGGAATTGCTATCTAGCAACAGCATTTAATCAAGTGAATAGAACTAAGAGAGTGAAAAAGAAAAGGATCAACTGTGCAAATTCTTAACCTGGATGCACAAAATACATCACTCATCAAAACAATATCTTTTCGAAGGTCAGATATTACTCAAAGGTTGAACATATCAAACAAAACAAATGGAAATGAATAAATACAAGAGTTCAACAATACATATAGGAATCCATTACAATATTACAAGTTCATATCAAAGTTTAAGATCTATATCATTGCAGCCCTAATATTCAATATTTAATGTTACATATAATATCAAAAGATTTCAACAAATATTGATATTACATAGAAAGACGTACTGATCTTCTAAATCTTTATCACTTTCAGTCATATTATAGATGGCAAGTCAAGTCATTTCCAAATTTACATTATTTACAATAAGACCACCCAAAATATATGATAAAAGAAAATCACATAATAATATTATAGGATAAATAGACAAACATTAGGATAATCGTTAAAAATAATATCTGTTTAAATTATAAAAAAAGATAACAATAAAAACAATATCATTTATATTCCACCACAGAAATTAAAGCTATAAACAAATTTTCTTCAGAAATATTTTAACCTCTTTGGGTAGGACAAATTTTTTTCAAATACATAAAGATAACACACAAAATTAAATCTTAAATGCTACATGTTTATATTTTCATCAGCACATGCTTATTTCTGATTATTGAATGTATTGCAGAGTTCAGAGCCAGGTCAGTCTAGGTGCCATTATTGATATATTTTTAATTACTTACTAATAAATATCATTTGATATTCATATTCAACTTCTCAGTGTGGAATAAGAAACTGTTTAGAAATATTCATTGAGAACAAATTTACGAAATTTTCATGACTAAATTTACACAGCTTCCACCATATTTATAATGCCTTTCATTATCAGGTCTACAATACTGCAAGAAACAAAAATTACCCGGAAAACAAATCTAGCATGTGGCCCGTTATGGCATTCCGAATGGCTATACATAGTTTGTACATGTGTTAAACAAAAATACCATATATACATTCTATCAGCGTCTACAATATTTTGACAAATTTTGACAATGTGTCTCTCTCCCACTTCTCCACATTTTAGCAAAATACCATTCGATAATAATCCATTTTTAAATGAAATGTCTTCATATATACTGACCCTGTACAATTTAATTACATACCATTTTGTTTTAAAATATACAACAATAAAGTGATATTATATATGATAAACAAAGGATCCATGCATAGTGTAAAGACTATTAAAATTATATTAACTACTGTTGTGACATCATAGACATGATCTCCATCATCACAACATAAATTATTAATAACTATTAAAGTCCACTTCCAGTTTCATTCCACACAAGAAAAATCCCACATAACTTTGGCAAATAAAATAGGTCTTCCAGTCCCTCCTGCTTTTAAATTTCCATAAATGATGTTCTATTTGACACCCTTTTCCGGTAATGGGAAATGATTGGGTGTAAGAGAAATAACAGACCATTTGACATCCAATTTAGGAATTAGTTATGAGATAACATCTAAGAATCTCAGATTGGGATCATTCTTATCCTTATATCAAACTCAAAGTGGGTCATTCAAATATAAATTAGTGAATAATATAAAACAGTATAAATGATTATTTATGTATGTAAGTGGAATGTTTTACATATCAATTTACACCACAATTTATAACAATAAAAAAGTAGAATGCCCCTATCTACTTGGATTACTCCTGCTCCAGAATCAGGAATAGTAATCTAATCTTTATTAAATGCCTAGTTAAATACCAAACAATTGCTTTCATACAGTGTTAATTAGACTTTGAAATGAAATGAAATGGGGTTGAACATATTTCATTGACTATTGCTTGTTAATTTATTCTTTTTTCATTGAAATATTTAAGTTTTACACTTTAGAAACTACTTTATTTTAATGGTATAGAAAATTTAAAACTGAACAAAACTGTACAAAAAACTAACAATAGCAAAATGAGTTTTACCCTGTTGGTCACAAATTTGTAATTCGTTAATTGAGTATGATTGTGAGAAATTGTACAAAAATCTCAAAACTGATGCTTCAAGCCATTCTACAAAAGATAGGTTGCCATGCAATGAAACATAATCCCACAGCAGTTAAATCGTTTGAGTGGTCGACAAGTGTTGTCGCATATTTATTTTTTTGTAGGTAACTGAGGCCATTTACAAGACAATTTCATACAGATCAGATTATAATTTTCGTCGTTTGAGAGTTCACAAGGTTCTACAAACTAAAACAAGGGCCTTAACTCTGGAAGTAATTTACAGAAAATGTTGAAATTTGATAGGCTTTTTTCGTTTTAGTAATCTAAATGACACATAAATTTCATACAAATCATCAGATAACTTTTGATGTTAAAGCGTTCAAAATGTGAAACAAGGGCAATAACTCTAGAAGTAATAAACGGAAATTGCTGAAATTCAATAGACTCTTTGTTTCACTAATTTAAATAATGCATATAAATTTCACAAAGATCGGATGACAACTTATGGCGTTAGGTTCAACAAAGTGAAACAAGGTCCATAACTCTAGATGTAATTATTAAAATTATTGAAATTAAATAGGTTTCTTCATTTTAATATAAATTTTAAAATAATCGGATGACATCTTTTGGCGACGAAATTGTGGATAACCAATGGATCGACAGCTGGCCGGACGGGGACGACGTCAATATATGTCCATAATTCCATGTGGGCGTATAAAAATAAATCAAAAGTAAATTGTTACTAAATATCTTTACACTGCCATGACTATGTGTCATTTATTTGTTGTATTTACAATTTGCATACAAATACAATTAAAACTGCATCTTAATTCATATGTACTTTAACAGTGCCTAGTTATACGTACCTGCCTTCATTTATCATTTAAAGCGATAATTTCATATTTTCTAAGAAAGTTAAAACATAATTATTTCTATGTCTTTTTCTCAATAGGTTGTCAACTCACTATTATACGATCATAGGTATTATTCTCCCACTTAAAAATCGTTTGACCCCGGAAATAATAACACAATTACCCCCCCCCCCCCCCTTGTTTTTTATTTCCCCCATGGAATAGCTATCTTCAAACGTTTGAATTTGATGTTGAAAATGATATTTTTTCCAATTTCTCAACTGGCAATAGTGAATGATAGTATTATTCTTTAACAAGGTAGGACTGTTTATAGATAACATCTATTTTAGGGCTTTATTTTAATACATTTTAAAAATATAACTTAAAAATATGAAATTGTAACTTTAACCTAAATTTAACAATCTGTGAAATTATGTTGTTGTTTTTGGTTCATGATTAAAGAACATAATTTCTAGAGAAAAGATGTGTTTTTCTCTTAAATGTTATAACAATGGTGTTTCAATAATATACAGTAGGAGAAGTAGTAGCTTTAATAAGGCTACTCTAAAATTGAGTTGAGATCTTCGCTTTTACATAGAAAAATTCTCTGTCTTGAATATGTAAAAATAGGGAAATGTAGAATGATTTTGTTGAAAGTAATGATCAATGAAGGTTATAAAGGTATCGATAATTCCCACATACTGGTAAAGCCATAAATTTAAAATTCTATTACGGAAGCCTGCCTATTTTTTTTATCCTTATTTCAAGTTCATTGAGAAGTGGGGATGAAATTCTTTATATTATATAAAATCTTAGGTTATATTATACAATAAAACAAATAGATCTATATACAATATATAAATAAAATACTAATAATAAAATACATAGATACATCTCGATTGATGCAACAACAAACATAGAACGTACATGTATATATAATAATTTAGTATTTTGACCAGATAGAAAGAACATCAAAATACCATGAAAGACTTGAATATTTGAGAACACATAACTTACACACCTAAGAACAAAAACAGTAATAAAAAGAAGCCTCTTTTTACTTTTCAAGAAAGGAAAAGTATGTCCCGGACAAAATATGAAAAAATAAACATTATCAATCACTCTTACATCACACAGATCATAAATAAACAATAAACAAAGTTAAAATTATTTTAAATTAATTAACAGAAATGATGAATTGTATAGAAATATTATGCCATGTAATATTGTACAGCCATTAATAATATCATTGTTCACATTGAGGTTAGCTCTTCTTTACTGTTGAGTTTTTCTCGAGATCCATTAATAAAAGTTTTATCCTCTGTTGTACTTGCTGTTTCAACTTTGGTGTGACTTGGTGATGAGTCTGGACCAGGATAATTAATAGGAGATGATTGTGAAGATTTTACTGGTACATAGCCAAGCTGACTTTGAAATTTCTGATGAACTTTTTGTCTTTTCTCTTCGCACTCTTCATGGTATTTTTTAATAATCTGTAAAATACACATACATGTATATTATATAAATTATTATCTAAATGATCATCGAACAAAATACTATTCCAAAATTATAAAATATTTTGGCTTTATTGAAAACTATTTCAAACGATAATATAAAGTAATACAGCAAACTGTAGTACTACATTATACAAGATAACAATTTTTATCCAATTTGAAAAAGTAGCTAATTTCTTCAACAAACTTCACTGTAGTAAGAATCTGGGTCGCAATTTAACCTCTACCAAATAACCCCAAAAATCATTGTGATATATAAAGTCAAAGACTGAACCTCTGTTATCTTTTTTTTTTTCATTCTTGTCATAGATCAGCAACCATGATATTCTAAGAGTAGGCCATAGCTCCACTGTCTGGACAAAATCTCCCTCAGAGCACACTTCATGGCTTATGCCTGTCAAAATTTGCCCAGATGGAGCAGAAAAGTAGGGTGTTAAAACCCATTCATCTGAATTACAGCAATTTTATGTATAAAGAATCGAAACTTATCTCACCTCAACTTTTTCAGTACCAACTTCTGCCCTTATCTCAGCTAAAATTACTTCTAATTCTTCCAACCTTTTCCTTAAAATTTCTTGTAACTAAAAAATAACCAATTTTTAACATAAAACAAAAACATACTAAAAGTTGTTGTTAATTAAAATTGTATTTTTTTTTCTAATCTTTAAACTACATTGCAGTATAACATCAAAAATAAAATGAAGTATAACTGCAAGCTGATATTAATCAGATTAATATTCAACTTTCATTAATGCTCTAATTTCATATCTAAATATGCTTATAAAAATTTAGTTTACATAATCAAATAAATGAGGTGAACAGTTTCATCTTTTATTTAAAAAAAAATCAATTTATGCATTAGAAAATAATATCTTACCTTTTGTCTTTCTTGTACAGCTATTGTAACATGCTTCTGTTGTGCTTCACGTTTAATTCTGAAATAAAAACAAGCCAACAGTAAAGCCAAAATCTCAAAATAAATAGATGACACATATTGATTAATTGCACATTATCTTTTTCAAAAGTATTGAGCAATCGAACAGATTATCTATACTTAGTCTAAGCAGAAGGTTTTGAAGTACCCAGTAGTGAAACTATATACTAAGTTTCATCACTCTCCATCAGTTAGAATCAAAGTTATCTTTTCCCAAACCATAGACCAATGAAATTGCTTAGCTTTAGTGAGAAATGTTAATCATGGAACTCAGGCAAGTCATTCACCTAATGAACATCTACATCAAGTTTAAACATTCTACCTTAATTAAAAACAGAGTTGTCATGTTTCAAAGTCTTGACTATCACTACTTAGTTTTGTCACTCTCACTTAAAGATGGGTTCCCGCGTACAAACTGGGTGATTTAATGGTATATATGGACCAAAAACATATTCAAACTAATTAATTTGTCATAATTATGCTTCAAATCCTTCTCAAACATTGTAATTCCGAAGTAATGCCCTGCTATTAAAATTCGAACAACCCAGATCATGTTTACGTCACGTCTTGGGAGTCAGAGGAGAATTCATTGCATACATTAGACGATGTTGTCTTTAATCGCTTACTATTTATTACAAATATCGAATGCTCATTATCGAACTTAGTCAAGGTATTAATATAATGAAACTATACACCAAGTTTCATCACTCTCACTTAATTAGAACTAAAATATACACATAGTAAATCAAATAAGAGATACTTTTCATCTATGCCTTGGCTCCCTTACTGAAAATCATATGAAATATAACTTATTGCTAATGGGTGCTAAATCAAATCTTTAGAAGTGAGCATTCAACAGTAACATATTTAGGTGGAGAAGATAGGAAGGCACTGGGCTCCAAAACCGACATTGGTAATATCAATTAAATCATATTAAATTAGTTTCATTTGTGCCATCAATTAGTATAACCATTACTGTATAAACTAGAAATCAACCATTAAAATGAAAACTACATTTAAAACATACCTGGATAATTCTTGTTTATCTTTATGTTTTTTCGCTAATAGTTTCATATGATCACGACTTTGTGCATCCATTCTTTTGGTTAACTCAGCCACCTCTCTATCATACAATTCTTCTATTCGCTTTTTATGTGCTAAATGATTGCTGTCCATCAAGCTTAGTAAACAGTCATAAATAGGCGTATTATAATTTTCATAAACATTCTTTTCTGCTTGATAATGATCATCACATAATGCCACAAACACTTGAGCTTGAGTCAATGTTAATTCTTTATACTGGAAAGTAAACATGATATATTTATGAGTTCCGAAATACTTATAAATGCCAAGAAGCCTTACAGAACAAGACTTAATCCACCATGCCATTAATCTTACACAGATCTTTAAAGGTTATAGTTTGGGAAATGACCCTTCTCCTTGTTGAGTTCCATCTTGGGATCAACACCCCAATTGAATTGGTACCACCAGGCACAACCACAGGAACTAGGTTGAATGATATCGTGATGCAGGACGGAGGGCCTGACAAGGACAGCTGTCTAGTCCTTTGGATGAGACGATAAACCAAGGTCCCGTGTATATATTGGAATGCACGTAAAAGATTCCTTGGCAGTTGGAATTCGATATAAGAGTAGGCGATAGTGCCGCTGCCCGGGCAAAATTTCCCTCATAGCACACTGTATGGCGTATGCCCGTCTTCATTAGCCCAGTCGGAGCAGAACAGTAGGACGTTAAACCCCATTTCATTTCATTTCATTTTATGAATGATATCCTTAAAATATTATGATACACATTTGCACTAAACTAATTTAAATTCTCTTTAAATTAAAGACAGACAGAAGTAATTATTACAAGATAAGGTACAAACAAACCTTAGTAGACTGATCTTGCATCAAAGTCTCTAGTTCTTGTTTACATCTGGTCTGAACTTCATCTACTTTTTCTCCACCTTTTGCAGCTTTCTTTGAATTTTTAGCGTGTAGTTTTTCTAGAGCACTTCTAGCTTTGAGTTGAGCTGCATTAAGTTTATCAAGTTGTAAAGCATGTAACTCTGTCATGTTGTCACAGGCCTACAAAAAATAATCATTATGTCCCTATGAATAATTTCGCAAAGTTTGAATTAATTCCAGTATGAATTCTTTTTCTGTACGGTAGTATTCCCAGGTTTTAACAGTCAAAATGTGAACACCTTTATAAATTATGATCTGCAAATAATGATGTGCCACTATATTGCTACTATCGGTTTTACCAATATCAGATGTTGACAGTGAAACATATTGGCTGATACAGATACAATTATTGATAGTGACTCATTAAAAAAGTATTACCCTTTAAAATGGCTTGAATGTCACAATAATTGATGTAGATAGTATGTCATTGTTTGTCGGGAAACACAGGGTACTATTTTATCCCGGGAATCAAACACGAACACAATGTTTTTTTGAAGGAATAATACAGACCATCTACTGAGATCTTAAATATTGGTTGGTTGCATGATTAATTAGTGAAGTACGGCAGACCTTGAAATTAGGATTGTCCTACTATGGCACCAAAATTCTGAAAATGCCAAAGCTAAAAGGAGCTGCCATGGCCATAGGTGTATGGGCCTTAACGAATGTTGGGAGGGAGGGGGATGTCAGGAAAAAAAATTTGTATACAGACTACCGCTCCTGTCATCGGTGAGCACCAAAGGTATGGAGTATACCATGAATACCGCAATTTCAAAGTGGTGTAACATAGCCTAACTTAGGTGGCTGGGGCTGACCTGAATTCGATTCAACCATTCAATCGTTTACAGTCCACGGAGATGCACACAATCAAGAGAAAATCTAATGGCCACAAATGAGTTTTTCTCTTATTCCAGCCTGTGAATACAGCAACTTCAATGTGATCCAATATAACCTAACTTAGGTGGCTGACCTGAATTCCAAACAACCAATCTAGTCCACGGCATATGGGGGCCATGCACTCCCAGAGAAAACTTTGATAATTCAACTGCTAAAAATGTGTTTTTTCTGCTATTCTAGCCTGTGAGTGCAACTACAAATTTGTCCAATGGTTTTGCAAACAAAATCCCTTTATATGCCAAGCTGAATACCAATCATCCAATCAGACTGTTGCAGCTGCATTCACAAATAATAATCGATGCTCGAAAATGTCGCACAAAGCAGTGTGGCTCCAGAAAAAATGTTTCTATCCATAGTCAATTCAGTACAAATTCGAGGTGTTCAATTATAAGAAAAGTAAAATTAGTGTTTTATTAGATTTCGGGCACGTCATTTTGCCAATTTTTGTTTTACTTTACCTGTTTGCCCGAAAAATCAGACAGTTATGGGGTGCCCTGGCTCGTATATCTATGGCCCACGACACCACAGCATACAACTCATACAATGATTTTCAGTGTCAATTATTCGGGTTCTAATTATGTTTGGGGTACCGTCATATACAGAGTTTTGTTGCAGTATTATTGCAATTTATTTACACTTTTTACGTTTGATTTCTTATTCATTTGTGTTCCCAAATAGCATGATCACATGGCAACCATGGCCTTCAATATGAATGACACTATATTAAAAATAGAGCATGTGTATGAAATACTAAATTATATAATGACACACACTATTAAAAACTTCCGCTCTTACCACAGTTTTGCTGTATGTCGTGGTTAATTTCGAGCACTGACTGTATGATCGAGATTATGATTTATTAAATGTTGATTACTATATAAATCCCTAAATTTATAGGCACCGGTAGAATGGTTCACAATGTCACATGACACTATCCCGTCTTTTTGAACAGATATCAGCCACAAGTATTGGCAAAATGAACGTGTATCAGCTGATACCGACTTCTACCGATAGGCCACTTGTTGGCCAATTAACTGATGGTGAAACCCAAAATCAAACATCATTTTCTGCAAATTTTGAAATTTTATAATGTTCTTTCTTGTACTACAATGGAAACTTTGGTATTTACAAGATATCATAAATCTGAACTAAATGAAGGGTTAACACTGCCATTTGCAATAAAAGTAATCCAAATTTCGATAGAGTTCCTCCATAATCTCAAATGAACAAAACAACTAAAATCTTCCAATGAGGACTTTAACCTGTTTGTGTTGCGGTCACAAACTTTTAAGATCAAAATATAACTGGAAATATAAATTGGCAAAACATATTCGAAATTTACAATTTAACAGTTTTGAAATTCGATATCCTAAAATAATACCCTAATGAACACACCAAATTTTTGAACACTCTATCTCAAACTCTCTCCTGTATCTTTGAATGTGAATGAGGAGATAAATCAAATTTTCTTATGATATAAAAACTAATAAAAATGGTTGATCATACCTTGTCATGTTTTTTGCGTATTGATTCTAGTTCTTTATCTCGCTTGGCTACCATTTTTAAAAATGTTTTATGGTTTTTTAAAATGCATAATGGTGTAGGTGTTAAAATATCTGGATCTGAAAGATTAAAATGTTAAAACATACAAAAAAACTGATCCTAATAGTGACAAAAATAATGCCACTAGGAAAGTTTTCTGATTCAAGTGGATTGACACTTTAAGAACTTTCCTACCAGACAAAAAAATTTAATTCCATTAAAGGGTTCCCCCTCCCCCACTTAACAATTTTTGTATACTTTTGTCTTTATATACTGCCTGTAAATAAGTAGGATACATCTGTCTGAAAATTAATTAATGCATTCACTGTAACGTTGATATCGTTGACTAAGCAACAAATAACTGTTATAAATGAAAATATACGACACTAATAGATAAAAGTTATCAGTTTATATACATAATGTGTATTAGTTATTTAAAATTGTTAGTAATAAGACAGTAGTCATTAAGTAGGTGTTTTGTCACTAAGGTGTTAAAACTGTGACTATTGAATGATATACACGACTATTGGTTAGGTTTGTGTATTCAATAGTGATGAGTGTTATAAATAGTCACATTTTTTTACAGCTAGTTACACACTTGCTAATTAATGACAACTGTATAATTTCTAACCACTTTCTATACATACTAAGGGAGAGTAAGGGAGAGTCACGATCAGACGGACTCAGCATCTAAACACTATTCCGGCAAAAAATAGACATCAAACCTACAGAGTGGGATAGGGGAATAAGGGGAGGTCAGGATAAGACGGGCCTGGCATCTAAACACAAATCCCACAAAGATGACATATACCAAACTAGCAGGATAGTGGAGTAAGGGGAGTTACGGTCAGACCTAAACACTATTCCGCAAAAGAAACAGATACCAAACCCATAGAGTGGGATTGTGGAGTAAGGGGAGGTCACGATAAGACGGGCCTGGCACCTAAACACTAATCCCAAAACGAAGACACCTACCAATCCAGAAGCAGAAGAAAACATCTACCAAACGATATGTTTTTAACTAAATAAAGGGAAGAACTTCCCACAAAACCCAATCCGTGGCCTAAGGCCGAAAATGGAAAGATTGCAAAATCATATTCTAAAAACAGGAAGCAGCTTCGGCTCTCCTATTTCTTGTCTGCGATATCACTTATGTGGAAGCAGACGAAAAACACCAGGATACTACTACTATACATACTAAACATTATTTTAGAATACTGACTACTCATATGATTTAATGACAAAAATTGTCATTACTAAAAGGCCTAGCTTCATTAGTCAACGATATCAGCATACACGTGATTATTGTTTCTTTATATCAGATACTGAAATGAAATTAATGTTGATCTTCGTACATTGGCAAACTTGATACATTTTGAGTTTTTAATGACCTACCATTAAGTTTTGTTGTTTGTGTAACAGACACATTAGATACACCATTCTCTACACCAGGCAAGTTGGATGGCATTCTACTAATATTGGCGCTACCTGGACCTGCAAATATCAATAATCAAAAGTTTCTTAAAATCAATTATTGTTTTTTTTACTGCGAAATTTATGTTATTCAATATAGAAAATTTGATAACTGAGAAATTAATTAAAAGAAGATTCATTAGCTTAATTAACATAGAACCCTGAAAGAAATATTTAATCATGCCACTTCCAAACGCAGGCAAAAAGTTTTAAATTTTCTTAAACACCATACATCAATAATTTTGAGAATAACAGAAATGGGAAAGATCCTCAAGATTATTCTCAAACCAAGCAGGGAATCTAAACCTGGATACCCTAGTTATGATGTTAGCACACTAATCGTATAACTAGCACCTAGAAATAACGACATGCTATGGTCTTTTTGCTGAAATGTTTTTTTCTGTCAAATAGAAAGTAAACCTAGTTCATAAAACTCCAAACAAAACCTCATTAGTACCAGTAACATACACACATACACACACACAAAATCAAAATTAAAATCTTTTCCCTTTATTTGGCATTATGTGACACAAAATATTTGAAATATTCTAAATATATGCTTCACGGTTATGTATTCAAGAACTGTTTTTAAGCAATGACATTTTATAATTGAGGTAAGAAACTAAGAATGTGTGTGCAATATGCCGAACATAAACTACAGTGTAACTAAGATAATATGCTTATGTAATGTAAGGACTGTTTTTATCTATACCAGAAGTGCTGGGGATTATCTTAATTGGACAAACGGATTTGGTTCAGTATAATCTCTGTCGACTTGAGAATAACTAAAACAGTATCATAGTTTGATCATCATTTAAATGACTGCACACTGTTCAGTAAATGTTTCCTTCAAAATGTCAGCTAAATTATTTAAAGATACATTATGGGAGATTTTTATAGAGAGTTGGCCATTCTTGCTATAACAGTTCAAAAGTAGATGATGAAAGAAGAATATATTGAAAAATTCAATCAAATTACTTTATTCTGAACATAGTTATCATCGTTGTAATATTTGCCTAGAAATGGTAGCGAATTGTGTCTTCACCTTCGCTGATCGTTTGATTGACAGGCGTTAACTCCACCTACATATCTCGATTATCAAGTAAAGTTTTCAATGGCATACCGAAACGCTTTACAGCGGCCTCGCTAAGTACACTATCATTTAGCTTACCCCTTATCTGATTTAATCAATTAGTGAAATCCTATTTAAATCTGAGCTGTAGCCGAGCCATCCGTGGGTCTACAGAGTTGATTTTGGTCTTGTTGTTTAAATAAAGATCTTATTTATAATTTCTATAACATCTGAAGCCTAAATTAAGACTTGCAATAATCAGATTTAGCTCTTGCATAATGCATGTTTAATGGGTTTATCAACCTTTTTAAATGATAATGCTAATAGTTTGATGAAACAACCCGACTAGTACTCATAATCCACAACACACATTGATCCAGTCTTTTACAGTAGACGGTGGACTGGCATTAAAGTCTTTAATCCTAAATTAAGGATCTTTGGACTGTAATCAATGGAAATCTACACATGTAGGACTGACATTCAACTATGAATAGAAAGGACTAAAGAAGAATGGGAATACTGTAGCTGGTGATGAACATAGATGAAACAGTATCCAACATTACTGTCATGACCCAAAGAGAAATATTGTGATTTTATACTGTGGTGTGTGCAGTACTCTATGACTATAATGTATATTACTACTTTAACACATTACAATAATTTATATGCGCTGAACTGTTTCTATAACTGTACAATTAAAACAAAATTGATTGATTTTCATAATTGTTTAATGTTGAACATTTCAAAATAGTAGAATCTGTTCCTCATACTCGGTAGTTCACATAATTAATTTTGCAAGGAACAAGATTTTATAGAAAAAAAACCACCCAAAAATACTGCTACAGTGGTAATCTGTAAACCTGGCTAAGATGTAAATTAACTAACAAAAAAAATAAAACTAAGCTAAATGCATAATTTTGGTTGTTAAGCTTTATAAGGTTAACCCACAAAATGGTTGACTAAAACATATCTTACACAAAAATGATAAAATAGATAGTCCTGAAAATACAAGTTATTACGAATTTACTTGGAATATCCCAACACATAATTTATACATTTTATAAATAGGAATAAGAACTGAGTTGAAATGATCAAAATATGGAATTCTCTATTTAGGCTTGGTAAAGCTCTAATGACTAGAATAATTATGTACAATTGATTGCTCTAAATTTCATAAATATAATGATGCAATAAAGGTAGAAGGCATAAATGTACATCTATCAAATAAAAGAAGACAATGTTCGAACGAAAGACATTATTATAGTGGAAACAAATATTAATTAAAACAATAATGCAAACACATACCTGATCCGGTACTTGATTGACTGAGACCCGATTGAGTACTATCTTGTTTGTTGAGAGGGAGATGTGTGGACGATTGCATTCGAATTGGTTTTGGTCCATCACCTGGTGCCGGACTTGCTGCTGATGGACCATTTTGAACTCTAACAGAATTTTGTCTTTCATTGCCCTTTTCATCTATACCACTATCTTTGTGTCCATCAAGTTCTTCCTGTAGAAGAAAATTACAGAAAATTAACATATTTTTATATACAATGTTTCAGTCAGTGACAATGGTTGCATTTGGTTACAATTGGATTTCATAACCATTGGTTGACAATTTTTGTCCTCAAATAAATCTTCATAAAGCTGTCAACATTATAATTACTGAACAGTTTTCCTGCTTGTATTAATCAGAGTGTTTCAAGTTTTTCCATCAATGATTACAAAATAATATAACATTTCTCAGTCAGATATTTTAATGCTTTTTGGTTCTTCTTATTAATTAGGTTCTATCATAGATTTGACACTACACTCTACAATAAGTTCACACCAAATATTACCGTACATGCTTATGACTAACTGGCTAGAAAACTATTGTTTAATTAATCTAGAATAATCATCTAAGTAAAAATTATAAAATCATTCGGACTCTGCAATCATCCTTGACAGGTTTCGAAAAAAAAGTATCATGAATTTCAATGTGACATAATTTCAGTAACAAAGTCAACAAAATACTGCAAAGCTGCAAAACATCCAATTTTAACAACTTTCTTTTGACCATTATGACAGATCAGTTATTTGATTCTATTATTTCATAACAATCAACATTATATAGACAAAACATCTTCATGCATGATATATATATTTACTCTTCAAAAAAAGGAGGGGATATTGAAATGTAAATACCTATATGTAGGTCGTGATATGATAAATAGTTATGGACACTTGACATGCTTTGAGAGTATGTTCACAGATGAAGAACTTATTGGCCTAATAGAACCATTGAGCTGCATGTGCGACACGCAATAGCGCCATACACGTGGGATGGGTTCATTGTCGAATTTGACACTTCAAGGAAGGGTTGATGAAAACTGCCGCTCACTTGTTTATCCTATCCATGTTTGCTTTCCTATCGGTTCTTGCATAAGATTTACTGTTTAGCGTATCTTTGCTTTAGTGTGTTACGTTTAATTTGATCGGGAGACGTGTTCTTCGATGTCAACGTCAACCGACAACACTGCAAGAATTGGCCGTGGCACTGCAAGAGGAGTGGGTCAGATTGACCCAAATCGTGATTGGACGGTTGATTAGAAGAATGGCACGACAAACTGCTGAATGTCTGAGGATTGGTGGAGCAATTACTCATTATCAAGACAAAAATCAACCAGCGGCTGCCAGGCAGAATACGCCCACATTTTCGAGAGATGGATAGAGAACAAGCTAAAAAGAAAGTGATTTTTCCTACAATCAACGGCCATAATTCAGGAAATTACAATTCAATATGCACAAATATCGAAAGAAACTGAAATCTTTGGGTTATAAACTTACATTTCAAGTTTCAACAAAATCGGATAAAAATTGTGACCTCTATAGGGTCCACAACCTTGATATACCATATTTTTAAGCTATTTGAGAAAGAGGGGCGGCCATTTTGTCTGTCAGTTTTGGGCCGATTTTCACGAACTCACTCGTCCTTATGGTGTAACAGTGATATAATAATACGTTTTTTTATATCGGATAAAAATTTTGACCTCTATAGGGTCTACAATCAGGGGCCATAATTCAGGAAGTTACGGTCCAATATGCGCGAATATCGAAAGGAACCGAGATCTTTGGGTTATAAACTTACATTTCAAGTTTCAACAAAATCGGATAAAAATTGTGACCTCTATAGGGTCCACAAGCCAAAAACGTGACTTTTCGTACAAACAGGGGCCAAAATCCATGAAGTTTCGATCGATACATGCCAATATCGAAAGCAGCCGAGATCTTTTGGAGATACACCTATATTTCAAGTTTCGTTAAAATCGGATAAGAATTGTGACCTGTAGAGTGTCCACAAACAAATTGTGGACGGACGTCCGGACGGACAGGGGCGATGGCATAATAATGTGGGCGTATAAAAACGTCCATTTTCACTTTTGACGGTATATCTCTTTGCGAGTGAAATGTAGCCGTCAGATAAGCGGCCCATATGAACTGTTTATGTTCATGTGTAGGCAATTGGCCTGTTATTAACATACACTGGTTACCTCTAATAAAAACAGCAGTGCATTTCTGCAGTTTTGTATTGTTTCTGAATATCCCATACTTTTTTTGAAGAGTATATATACTACACTTTTTATATAACATTTATATTATATAACAATTCAAATAAATATATTCTAAACTGGTAAAAAAAAATAAAGAAGACATATCATATGTAAAAAGAATTACAGTATAACATGCAATTTATCATGTCATGTTAAGTTTTTTTTGGTTTTTTTTGGTTTTTTTAACTAAATTTTTTTACAATTTTGGAGTGTTAAGCCAAATAATTAGGTAAGGATATTCCCCCAGGGAACTTAAAAATTATATTGTATTTCTTGTATTTCAAAAAATGCCCAAACTACATTTATATAGCTACCGGTATCATGAAAATATTTTTCCTGGATCTCTGTTAAAAATAGTTTTTGATTCCCCTGATCAATGTTTTATCACTAATATGCAAGTTTTGAAATGGGATACGCTATTAATTAAAATAAGAAAAAACAAATCTGAGATCCTGACTATGAAAATGTTGATTTGAATCCTGAAAACTTAATCTACAGAATTGAATTAACAGCAGTACAATATAAGCCTTAATAGAAGAATCCACACATTTTAAATAGATACACACACTGCAACAAACAAAGTATTAATATTAAAATAATCAAGCCAAAAACAAAATACCACTTACAGTAGCTAAAATTTCATCCTAATTTAGAAGAGAAAAATAATGGAACAAAATTCAAACAAAAACTTAATAAAAACCTGAATAAATCTTAAGACAAAATCTGTAGGAAACAAATTGGATAAATTTGATAGATAGACTATTTTGAAGGGAATGCAATGGGTGCTAAGGCATAGAAGGGAAACAGGTTTTAAGACAGACTTGGTAATTTAAGAAAGATTGATGCATTACCCAATACCAAAATAGAATTGGATAATTAGTATTTGTGTTTCTTAATACTAAAAGAATGTCATAAAACATAACTTAATATACATTTAAAGAGGCAAAGATATCTGAGCCCCCAAAATTAAATGTATTTTTCTAACAGGAATGAATGTATTTTGGAAATCTATTGATAAAGAAATCCTAAAATGTGCCAAAATCAAACACCATCTTTATGAAAAGAACAAAATATGCTCAATTAATGTTTAGCCCAATTCATAACGTGCTTCTGCCTCCTTAAATAGATGATGCATTTTAATAAAGACCATTAAAATTAGATTCTAAATACAATAGAAACAAAAACCTTTAAATAGCAATAAACATTAGAGAGCAAAACTATAACAACAACTGGATCAGACAATTATATAGGGAAGGATTTTCTTGATCATTGATACAATTGTATTTCTTCCATTTCTTGCCATTATATTTTAACAATAAAAAAATAGAATTTCGTTATCATCTTACATCGACTTCAAAATCTTCTGTTAAAGTTGCCAATTGTTGGGCATGTTTCTCCATCTTTGACTGATAAGCAATAGGATTGATCAAGGCTTCGGCAAATTCTGAAAAAAAGTTTTAAATAAGTTATTTGTTTGTAATCTCCCTTGTTTTAGTATGACACTGCATGTATTTGAAAATCTATTTTTAGGATCATAAATAATGTTTCATTACTGACCTGCCATAGAATCTGGAACATAATCCATTATACTTAGATGTACAAATAATGTCTGTAGTAATAATGGTTGATTACTTTCATTTCTTAATGGTATGTGACGATAACCTGAAAATATTTATCAAATGCACTCGTCACATATGAATAATTTAAACATAATAATTCTCTAATTCTGTACTTACACAAATAGTGAATGATATATTTGAATTTGTACAGCACATAATTCTAGGAAACTTTTAATATCTGAATTCTATTTTTCAATAGTCTATTTTCTCACAACAACATACTTAAAAAAATGATTTCTTTATTTTGCTTTGTGATTACGGTTCTGATTTTCTACACAAGTTCTAATTTTACATGTAGTTAGAAAAACAGATTATAACTTGGGTCTTTCAAAGTGATCAAGGGCTATAACTTTGGTAAATCACCAGCCAAATATAGAAACAATGACAGTAAAAAGTTTATTGTTATGGTTAATATTAAGTGATTTACCAGGCCGTAATCCTTCCACAGGCAATACTCTATGACCAATCAGTTTGCCAGTTTCTTCATATACAACTATTCGTAATGTTGCTAAGTTTGGTAATACAACCTGTAGAATGAAAGACAAGTTTAACATCCATCCATGTAGTCATAGGTTATTATATCAATTTGCCATTTATATTATGCCCACAAGACACACTAGTCAGAAAATCAAAACACAGCTATGCATAAATTTAACTTTTGTATTGAAAGACGTTTATAAATTGGTATGTGTCTTATGCATTTATTTTTAATAATGGCTGGAAACTTAAAATCTGTATCTGAAATAAGGGGCTTGCAACATGTGCCTCATTTCGCCAGAGCTGGTCATATTTGTATCAAGACATCTGAGTAAAAATTATAATTCTTTAAAGAAGGATTCCGAACAACAATGTGTCTGATTCTAAATTTCTTCACACATGTTTCGAATGTCTTCTTTGAGCGGCATTTAGCAATTGACACATGTAATAAACACAAAAACATAATATTGAACACAACGAAACGTTGCTTTAATTAAAAGAGTAATTGTGTTCCATATTATGTTTTTGAGTTTATTATGTTCTGAATGCATTCAAATTATGTATCTTCTCCCCATAATTATCTTACAAAAATTAAAGCCTACTTACTTTTTTGAACACAAAGGGATCTTCATCATATACTGGATTAATACCGTTAGCTGGCACTACCTTGGTTCGAAACTTTTTCCTAACAGTATCAGTGGGTAAACCATACATATCAACTTCAACATAAGATCCAACTTTTTTATCTGTCAAGAACTGTCCTGAGATCACCTGCACAATAGATACATATTTTCAATAAAATCTGTTTTCTAATCTCTTTAAGTTTTATCTGACAGTAACTGGTATGTAAATTTTGACACGTGTTCTCTTCAGTTTATACTAAGGCAAATCGCCAAACACTTCTAAGTATTTGTTCTCCTGAAATTTTAAACAATTAAAGATTGTAGCTTACCCTAACTTTTACAGTTCCTGCTACAATACCATCAACAGTAGACTCTGCAAAAGGGTCAAAATGTCTATCTTTTCTTCTCATAAAATCCGGTTTAAGTATGTAACCACAGCGACCATTATATTCAAATATACCCAAATTAAGCTGCATAGCCAGATCTACAAAATAGCATTAAAAGTGCAAATTTTTCGAACGCCATCACACCTTTATATTAATATAAAACAAGTTTTGTTATTGTAAATGATACATGTTTCCATGAACAAAAACAAACAAAATTCACAGATGATGGGTTTCACAATATTATCTGCATTGTGAATAAAACACAGATCATTAAAACTCATATATGATTTATGTAATCAGAGAATATATGTTATGATATCAAAACTTTTAATCTTACCTAAAGTTTGATAGTTTAAAGCAACTAATTGACACCCTGCATTCCAAAACACCTAAAATCATCAAATATTTATTTAGCTACAATTATTTTTCATACATCTTATCAGATCTTTTTATAATGTAATGTCCTTGAGATACATATTTATTTACTAATGCATATACCATATATTTCTATCTAGATAATGGTGTTTTTTTTTCCTAATCCTATATCTTCTAAATAATTTGGGCATGTGATTTCCAAAATACACTTATTGAAAAGTTCTTAATACATATAAAGCAATTAGTTCCAGTCAGTTGCAAGTGTGCTTATGTCGATCATATCAGCAACGGAGAACAACTCAATGCGAAACACTCATGTGGACTCAGAACTGATAGCAATTACACTTAACACAGGAGCATTAGAAGACGCCTCCCAAAGGAATTGTCAGTCTTGTGCTGAGCTGTAAGAGGTGCTCAGGTCGACCTTTATCAGTTCCATTCAGTTGGCGCCAGTTGCTCTCACTTGTAAGGTCGACATAAGCCCCTTTAAAATATCTGATATATTTAAGGGATGATACCGGTTGGATTTTATCCATCCTGAACTCACCTGTGGCAAAAAATTACTTGAATCTACTCGTGTTCCCTTCGGATAAATACGACTTAACTGCCGTTTATTATAACTTTTAAAGGTTAAAGAAAAATCAAACTTTATAACAGTATGCGGTATAGTAGAGATCAAATGTTGTTTTTAATATGTAATTTTGTGTTATGTCTCTAATATTATGCAATGTTTTGAGGTATGTTTTTTTTAAGGATACTTAACAAAATCAACAGGATATTCTTTCAATAAATTTGTGGCTTGAGTTTCAACAAAAGATGAGATTTCATAACTCCTCCCTTTTTCTGTGAAATATAAAAACAATATATTATTATTAAGTATAATCATCAAATCGATAAACTGCAGCTTCTCATTGAAATACACAGAAAGTCCATCTCTATAAATCTTCATAAATGATTTCAATATAACCTTAAACTCATCTTCTTACCTCAAAATTTGTACAACTTTCCTATAGACAGGTAAATTATGTACCGGTATATCTCAGCGATTGCTTTGCATGTTGGTCTCAACTTTTGATCAATTAAATTTAAACACATGTGATGTGATTGTGAACATATAGTCCAATTACTGCAAATCGAAATTTATTTTTTAATGACAATAATCTGTTTGTAAAATAGGAATGTAAGTATAGTTATTTCCCTTGTATTGTGTTGGTGCCAATCAGTTTTACTACATGCAAATAAAGTACTTACTCTCTGAGGCTTCAAATGAATGGAAATGAACCGGTTGTACATAATTTACTAAAAGAGACATTTCCATGGCGGCCTCTGCTTCAGAACCAGCAGTACCCTATAAGAAATAAAAACACAGAAAAATAAATTTCAGAAAAAGTAGTTATATGTTGTACAATTTACCAAATGAAACTGCCATTTAAACCAAATACCCGGTAGTTCAAATCAGCCATCAATATTTAGTAATTCTTTTCTAGGGTAGAATGTCTACATTTGCCTGTTCTTAGGGGTCAGTAACTTTAAGCCAATATTCCACAAAATATTATGACAAGGAGTAGAGTTGCCTGTCCAACCTCGTGGCTTTTCTCTGGGTCATCCAGTTTCCTCCCTGTTAAAGACCCCTACGTGCAAGCAAATTTTTAAAAATAAAATTGAACCTCGAACAGCTTAGGTGCCTTAATTAGTCTACGAAAGTGTTTAAATTTGCCCATTTTATGTGTACCCACTATGGGGCTGATCAACTTCATTTAAATATAAATAATCCCCACCCATAAAATAAATCTACCAAATTTGATATATATATATATATAGAAAGATGTTGAAAATACATGGATATTTCTGAATGTAACATTTAATGATTGAGAAACTTAATTTGTGTTATATTTTTCTACTTCAAGACTCACCTTTTCTCTTTTTTCTCTTTGCCGTCTGCTCTTTTCTTCTTCTGTCATAATATCACCGGTAACTGGATCCTCCACATCTTCATCATCATCACTATCAGAATCAGATCCACTATCATCAAACATTTCAATGGCATCTGTTCCTCCTCCTGACCCACTATACATCTTTTCCAGACGATTACCTTTATCAATTTTTGCTTCAATTTTTGCTTTTTCGACCGTATCATTATCGCTAATTTGTGACGCAGGTCTTTCTGTGATACCATTTTGATTGACAGATTCTTCAGGTATATGAGGTTTTCTGGTTGGTGTAGATTCTCTTTCATCAGATTCACTCATGCTCACTTTGGACTTCTCTGATTTTATTGATGCTTTGGTATTAGATCCAAACCTTCCTTGTCCTAAAATATACATAAACACGGTGAAGTCATATTCAAACAAAACTTCATTAACAATCTGAATCAATACTTTTCAAATGAACTGAACAAAATAGTAAGTTTCGGTTTGTAAGTTGTTGATGTCAAACAGGTGTGATACAAAAGAACGGCTAACCCTCGAATCGAGATCATCACAAATCTGCAATAATTTCTTGTGAAGTTAACAATCTTTCATAATAGAAGAGAAAATTTGCATAATTCTAAAATTTCATTTATGCTAAACAGTTGTTCTAGCAAATGATTTTGGCTTTATCTTATCTTCTAGATAAAGAAAATATTAGATGCATAAACTCAAAATAATTATGCAATCGAAACTACAAGTATGGGGTCAATACACCAATTAAACTTGAATGAAATTCCGGGGGATGCTTGCAGTACTAATCCTGATCGTTTTGATAAATTTTGTCTTGTTTCCAACTGAAAAAGGAGAACTACCGTTCCCCCATAGGCGCTTAAGTTCGGTGTTGCAGCAAACTTGATCCCCATCTTATTATTGGGCCTTATCAACACTGGTCATCATATTGAATAATTATGTGAATAAATTGACAAAGAAATATAATGGGATTAAAGTGACAAATTGAATGCTTATGAGATCATTTACCTCTATGAAAATGTTTCTTTCTATTTTTGATGAGTATTTTTCTCTTCATTAAAGACAATAATGGTAATGGTGCTTCTGGCTCTAACTGTAATAATTTATTTAAAACTATATATATTTAGGGACATGGAAAGCAAGAAGATGATAGAGCAATGCAAGGTACGATTAGAGTATATTGCATATTTCCACTTGGCAAATATTTTTTAAAAAATTATTTTAAAATTAAATAAAACAAGCTTAGTTACGGGTTAGTAATACATCCATGTAATCTTCTATTTAATTTAATTGGATCTACACGTAATTAAATTCTACGTGATTAAGAAAGTCTGTATAATTTCATTTGATGGGTTTAACATATGGCCACAACTTAAGAGCGAGACTTGAGCATATTACTGTTTGAATCAATCTCGTCAAAAGGTTAAGATGGATAGATAAAAAAGGTAAATTTCAGCAGACTAGGCTAGCTTATACCTCACTGCACAGTTCAATTAATTCTCATTTCTATTAATAGGGAGAAAACATGCTTTGACTTAAAGAGTTCTCCCCATAGCATACAAATGAGAGTTTAAAGCAAGATACAAAGTAATTACTATCTGCGGGAATTAACAATTGAGGAGTCAAGCAGAATTAGCTAATGATGCATAAGGATATTAAGATCAAACTCCTTACGGGATACTCCTCAAAAGTAGTCGTCAACAGCATGTCTCCAAATATAGTCCTGCAATAGTGGGCCATTTTAGTTTGCTGCTTTGGTCTGAAATATCAAGTGACTCAGTTTAAGTAATTTGTCTTTTATTGAACAGATATAACATTTATTTATAGTAGCTCCTATCTCATCAGACCACATAGTAAGTCCCAACACATTAAAATTGTTTATAAAAGTGTGACAACATTCTAATAAAATGAATGTTACATTTTATCACTTATTTGCTATTCCTTGGAACATTTAAAAGTGTTTTTGTCAAGTTAATTTGCAAACGTATTAACATTTGGCCAAATAGTTTCTAATTTGTCTCAAAGGGCATTGTGATTACAGGTTCAAATATCAGCACATTCTTTCAGTTATTTAAAGGTCATAAGCTAAGGCTACACAGCAATCCTACCTCTAATTGTCATTCTTTGATTTTAATTGTCCGTTTGAGATAATAACTATTTAAATAAGATGTTCATGTTTCGTCAAGGTTATATCACTTAGGTCATCTAGTGCAACTTCAAAGCATATTTAAATAAAACAAACCAGCAATGAGGCTGATGTCCTGCACCAAATTGAAAGATAGGTTGCCAGGCAACAAAACATACGCCCAAAGCAGCTAAATCGTCTTCGTGGTCAACAAGGGTTGTCACATATTTATACTTTTGTAGGTAATTACGGGCATTTACAAGACAATTCCATACAGATCAGATTGTAATTTTCTTCATTTGAGGGTTCACAGGGTTCTACAAACTGAAACAAGGGCCTTAACTCAGGAAGTAATTTACAGAAATTGTTGAAATTTGACAGGCTTTTTCATTTTACTAATTTAAATAGCACAGATAAATTTCATACAGATCAGCATATAACTTTTGATGTTAGAGCATTCATAAGGTTCACAAAGTAAAACAAGAGCCATAAATCTAGAAGTAATTGACAGAAATTGCTGAAATTAAATAGACTTCTTCGTTTCACTAATCTAAATGATGCATGTAAATGTCATACAGATCGAATGATAACATTTGTCGGTCGAGCATTGACATTGGCCATAACTCTAGACATAATCAACGGAAATTGCTGAAATTCAATAGGCTTCGTTGTTTCACTAATCTTAATATGAATTTCATACAGATCAGAAAATAACTTTTGGCGTTAGAGCGTTCACAAGGTTCAACCAAGTGAAACAAGGGCCATGACTCTAGATATAATTAATGGAAATTGCTGAAATTACTAATTTGAATGCGGCATATAAATTTCATACAGGTTAGCAGATAACTTTTGATGTTAGAGCATTCACAAGGTGCAACTAAGTGAAACAAGAACCATAACTCTAGAAGTAATTAACGGAAGTTAAATAGGTTTCTTCATCTCACTAATGTAAATAACATATATCAATTTTAAAAGAATCGGATGATAACTTTTGGCGTTAGAGCATTCACAACAAATTGTGGACGACGGATGGGGGCAACGGCAATATATATCCACATGTGGGTGTACATCTTTCTTGACCAATCAAATTGCTTATCACTTTGCTGAAAACCAGAGCTGAAAATGCTCATTATCAACCTAGTAAACACCTACAGCAAGTTTGAAAATTATAGCTCAATTTGACCACAGTTATTGTGTCCCAAAACATGTGACAGACCGACCGATTTTAATAGTCCCCTGGTTTATTCGAAATCGGGGGACAAAAATACATTGAAAATGATGTAGAAAAATAAAATGATACACAGACTGTGATTAGTAAGCTCACATTAACATTAACGTCTTGGAGGTATTTTCCCCAACCTATTCTTCGAACACGATTGCAGCATGTGTAAGACGTTATATTACGCCTGGTCGAGGAAATCTAATTGAAGGGAGACAACTCTATTTACCGTTAGTTTTAATTTGGTTTCAGACTACCAATTTTTGTATTCAGGAATGAAAAGGTCCAGAATGACGTTTTTCGTCAAATTAATGACCTAATAGGGGGTAGTTAACATTTTAAAAACTACGCAGTTAAGGGGTTAAATATTAGACGAATATTACGATATACACTACACACGCCCATTTCATATATGACTGTAATGACTGTTTTAAAATTTTTTAGTATTTCCTATTCATAGCTTGTAAGATATCATTTTTTTTTATAGTAACAAATATAGTTTTCTCGGTAGTAGGAATATATTTTCCAATCAATGGTCATGTATTTAGAATCTCAACAGTAGAATATATACCCTCCAATACTTACGAACAATGGTTCTCAAATGACAAAATTACAGGATACTCCGATGTTTTGAAGGCACTCTCTGCGATTGCCTCAACTACATCCTATAAATGAAATGAAATGAAATAAAATGGGGTTTAACACCCCATTCTTCTAAACTGACTGAGCCAATGAAGACAGGCACACGCCATACTGTGTGCTGTGAGGAAAAATTTTCCCTGACAGCAGCACTATAGAATACTTTTACTTCAAATTCCAATTCTCAAGGGTCCTTTTACGTTTTTTTTGTCCCACCTGTCTTGCACCACTGATTAGGTGGAACCATGCCGAAATATCCCAATGAACTTTCTTTGCCAACAACGGGATTTCCAGGTGAGCGAGCCAACATCATGACTACATCCTTTAAACAATATCATAAAGGATTTAATATTACTAATACCAGTTCATTAATAAAAATTTAAAACAAAATTTATCCTAATTAAGGATACTGCCCTTTTACTAAAGGAGAGTTAAAGAACAATTTTATATTCAAATTAAAGTTAATTGAAATGAACTGAAAGCAATAAGCACTGTCCAAATCATGGAAGTAACAACATTTTCTATCTTCTTGTTAACATGAAAATAATTTATATACCTTGAATGGAACATCAGTACACATGGTAAAACCGTGAGTTATCATTGGTTCTTCATCTGCTCCTCGACCATCCCAACAATCTAATTCAACACAACGACAACCACTGAGTAAAGCTTGACGATATATTTCTACTGATGATTTACCAGTTAACTGATGACCTAAATATCAATATAAAACAGTGATTTTGTGGCATCAATCATCATTATTATTCATTGTGTTACTTTAATGTAAAAACCACGCAGACGGCACTTGCACATTTTATAATGCATTGAGCAATCAAATTATTTATCCTTGTTTAACTTGGGCAGAAAACGCTTTTTATCGAACTTAGTTATGATATTGATGTAATAAGGCCATATACAAAGTTTTATCATTCCCACTGAATTAGAATTAAAGTGATGGTGCATTTTCTAAATTTTTGACCAATGAAATTGCTTATCTCTGCTCAGCCTGCGGAGAAAAAGGTCATCATCGAGCTCAGTCAATATATGCACCTAATGAAGATCAATTGTAGCTTGAACACTCTACCTCCAAATGTACTATGTACATTCTCATTATCAAACTTAGTCAAAACATTCACTGTACCGACATCTCCACCAATTTTGAACACTCTACCTTAATAAGAAGCCAAGCTATCGTGTTTCAAATTGGCTTATCCTAAGCAGAAAATACTCACAGTCAAGACATTCAGCAAATGAACTTTATACTAAGTTGATCATTTTACCTGAATTAAAAGCTTGACAGATAGACATACAAACCATTTTAATAGTCCCCTGCTTTCTCTCAAAAGGCGATGGACAATATGCAAAAGGGGAAAGTCAAAATATGTCTTGCAGTAAAGTGAAATTTTGGGAGGCCATATTCTTTCTATACTCAAGACTGGTGTAAATATGTAGCGTAAAACTTAATGTAAAAACATGATTTACCAGTGAGGTATGTATTATGAGAGGAATTAATGAAGTAATGTGCCAGTGGTTGGTTCATGTCTTCACTTAAATCAAGTTTTTCTGGTGGAATCAGGTTATTTTCTTCACTCATTAAAAACTTTAAAAAACCTTCTTGAGACATATGACCTATAAGAAAAAGGTATTAATATTGTCAACAGTTGAAGTATAAGGAGGGATATAAATAAAACTAGGCACAGGACATGTGTGGACATTTCTTCATTATCGTCATACAATATAAATCTTTTAAAACTGGTTTTGGACATATAACATTTGCTTTCCTAAACAAATATAACAATTAAGTAAAATAAATTTTACTATCTTATATATTTGTTTGTTTTGTGTTGTTTTTTCTTGGGCAGACAAATAAACATAGTTAAAGAGGCATTATCACCCACATTAAGAAAATAAACGTAATTTATTTTGAATATTATATGTCAAATAACCTTAGACTTACATCCTTACTTACATTCGCAATACACTTTGAAGAGACATTATATTTGAATGTCTTGTAAACTGATAAGTAAAATCATCTATATCTCACAATGGCTTGGCTGATTTCTCTAATTTTGCAAACAATTTCGTAATTTGAACATGCATATAGGTATATTGTCAGATTCAAAATTCTTTATTCATTGATCTACGAATCTGATACCTATTTCAGCCAAGGTTTCATAAATTGTATCTTTATCTATGACTTATGATGCACAAGGTACTGCTATCAATAAAGGGAAAGACAGACATACACATATGCAGCAACAATGTTTTGGAGTGGAATGGGGGAATCCTTCTAAAGTTCTAAGAATTCATGCTTTTATCAACAATCACCAAAGACAAATCTTAATTAACCAATTCATTGATCAGATTTCGCATGAATTCTGCTCTTTTCAGTGATAAGTAGTATGGAAGCCTACATTTACTGGTATCTAAATATTACAACATCTATAGAGAAAACTAAAACTGATCAAATTGACAAAAAGAAAGACACTAATAAAAACTAAAACATGCTGACTGAAACCGAAAGTAATTAGAACTCGGAAGGAGTACTGACGTGTTTCGCTACGTCAGTTCGCACCTTGTCATGTCAACAACCATGAACTATATTGAGTACAGTAACATCCAGTACCTATTAAAGTGGAAAAACCTGTTATTCTGAACTCTTAATAAAACCAGAAGTTATACTTCAAGACCAAACTTTTTGATATTAGTTGTTAGTAGGTCAAGGGTCATTGAAGGGCTAGGTCAAAAGTCCCAAAAAATTCAAAATTAAACCGGAAGTAAAGAAAATTAAAATTAAAAGATCGTCTGACTAAGAATTGTTGCCATTTGGAGTAAGTTCAAAATAAAAAAATGTTTTCGAAAATCAAAATGGCTGCTGAATATCGAAAGTCTTGACCAGTGAAATTGCTTATCTGCATTCTCTACATCATGTTTGAACATTCTAGCTCCATTAGAAGCCGAGTTAGTGAGTTTCAAAAAATGTGACGGATGAACAGACAGACAGACCCATTTTAATCATTCCCTGCTTTCTTCCAAACATACGGGGACAATAACAAACAAACTAAAATTAAACAATTCAAACAACTTTCCATCTCCACAGTTTAGATAAAACATACAGTCAGAAATTGATGTCCATAAAATACCGGTAAGTGCCAATTTATAAATTTAATGGCCCCCATCATAACCATTTTTGCTATTGGAATCTGGGGTCAGCCATCCAGTGATTTCACTAAACTGTGTCAGAATAAATATCATACTACTAGTACTGCTTCAAATTCTATGCGTGTTCAGCGGATCATGAGATACTACATATTAGAACCCAAACCCTACAACATAAGCACTTTTTGATTGGTTTAGTCTACACATCAGATGTTTCTTTATTAAATTACATAATTTTCTCTAATATAATTATAATATTGATGCCTACATTTAGCCAATAGATTGCCGATTAGGTGCAGAACATGATGCATAAGCCCACCCATTATGTAAGTTCTATTTTAAATGATATTTATGATAAACGGTGTATGTATAAAATCAAGTAACCCTTTCAAACATTTACTAGTAAGTACAATTTTTGTGAAATGAGGTCCTAATCTTACACAGAGAGAGAGAGAGAGAGAGAGAGAGAGAGAGAGAGAGAGAGAGAGAGAGAGAGAGAGAGTTCAATTAATAAAAACATAAAGAAAATAATCCCCAAAACAACGCAGACATAATTATAATCTTAACTAAACTTAGCAAAAACTAAATACGTCAAATAATAAAACAGAACTAAAAATACATATACATTCAATATGACAAAATATATCCTATACCATACTCCATTAATTACCTTTGTCTGAAAATATTTAAATAATGTTTAGTAAAATTAAAGTGTATTTCATGCTTCTTTATTTGTTGCATGAAATCCCAATGAATACCTTGATTAGTGAGTACTACAAAATGAAAACGTACTAAAGCCACATGGTAATGGTGAATGATTTATAAGTAAAGAATAATATTCATACAAGTTTTGTTTATATCTCAGAGTTAATTACTGGTAGAGTAACAAAATCAACAATATCTTAATAAATGTGAACAGATGATTTCTTCAAATCTATGCAAGTCAAGTCTTGGTTATAGTTAAGATTTACAGGTAATACAATATCAACAATATTATAAAGGATGATTTTCATATTAGTTTATCACTAGATGTGTTTCATTTTAATTATCTTTTTTTTTCTCTCAGGTAAAAGTTGGATTTTGATGATAAAAGTTTACCTTTTTCAGCCATTCCTGCCTTGTTTTCAAATTGTTCGATAAGTTCTTGTGCCTGTGCTTTTGTGTAAAATGGATACAGTATTTCATTTAATCTAGGATCGCGCTGCTGATTATTCAAAAACGTCTGGAATTGGTCAACTGTTAAATATGGTTTCTTTTTTGCTCCACTATAAAATAATACATAATTAAATAATGATTATCCACTACTTCCATTACAGTTAATAAACAAAGATATCATTAATTCTTCTTTTATTTCTGGCTGGCATACTAGTACTACAATAATTATTAAATCTTCATAATCTATTATTTTTTTTTTTCTTTCCTTCTCTATCAGTCTCAAACCCCTTTAATGTTATGCGGCCTACTAGAAACTGCTAACCGTTTATTATCTACACCTTGGCAAACTCTAAATTTCAAACCCCTGTATAAGGCAAACACATGAACCCCCACTAAAACATCAAACCCCGGTGACCCTGCCAAAACCTATACCATGCTAAAATTCTACCAGGGTTCACAATAGTATATATAGAACCTCACTAAGTGAAATTAATCAGTCTGAAGAGTTTAATACAAATGAAACTAGTCACTGATAAACAGGGATAACTGGTTGAATCGCCCATTCTATCGACACTTACATTTCATCAAAGACTTTATCTACTTCAGTTCTACCAACAAGGTGACGATAAAAATTGAAAAAATGTTCAAAGGTAAAATCTTTTGGATCTAGTGAATCATTCTGAAAGAAAAAGATAACAATGTGATACCTACATGTAACATTCTATTTTTATAGTCTGTAGCATATAATTGTTCGCTAAAATAAGGCATTATAATATTTTAGACACAAGGGATTTGTTAATTTACCACCATTCAGAAACCATTTTCCTCTATTTCCAAGTTCATATAATACCATAAATGTCAAAACTTTAATTGTGATGCTTGTATGACAACCTAGACATTGGCAAATCTTATAAATATTCAATTTCTCACACAAACAAAATATATGCCAACTTTTCTTTCAAGTGATACAAATAGCAATGGAAGTTTCAATTATCAGTACCTTACAATTTTCAAAAGCTTGTTTATAAGGAAATGTGACAGTGCCCTGAGCAACAGACTCACAGACATGGGTGAATACAATACATATTAAAAAGTTGTCTTTTTTAAAAATATGGTTCTTACTAGATTGTATTGACCAATACTGGACTTAATTAGTGTTTTAGTATGTTTAATTTTACAATAACTTTTTACTTCAGTCTTTGTATTTGCGATTATTACTTCCCAAAGCATCTTTGAAAGGAAAATTGTTCAGTAATAATTTAGTATTGAATGTAAAAATAAAAAAAAATATAAAAAAAAAATCAGAGCAAGAAACAAAACCAAACATGTTTGGCTCATTTGATGATTTTGTGTTAAATATAGATGATGTTCACTTTGGGGAATATTGATTGTCTGCCTGTATATTAAGTTTTATATGTGTCATATTCCAAAGAATTCATGGTGACATTTGACATTACCAGAATGAGATCTTCATCAATAATTAATTTGATATGAGATTAGGGAGGGGAGTGAATATCACATGAATTCAACACATAGTGGGGATTTGAGTATATACAGACTATTCCATTCAAATAATGTAAAATGATGGTGTAACATTAGCAGTCATTGTTCTAGTTCATTAAAATTTAAATAATAGTTTACATTAATCAGCTCATTATTGTATCATTTTCATAATATTTTATTGTCTCATCATCGGTCTTCTTGATTACATCAACTTCACTTTATTATCGGGGAACATTTACCAGATAGAAATTTCAGTAAACTAAATGAGAAAAGGGTTTTCTGTAAAAATATTTCTATGAAATCACTTTAGAAAATATATTTATGAAATCTATTTAGGGTGCTGTGTTTCATTTCATGTTCAAATAAAAGTGATTAGTGTCATGTGTGAGACAAGGTGTGCTTATTTTTTTATGGAACACCTGGTGCCACTTAACATTACTTACAATATTGGTTGTGCTTTTGTATTGTAATGGGGTTTTATATCTTATTCATTTATTAGAAAGTATGGGTTGGTTAAAGTTACCAATGATGTTTGATTCAATTTTATAACCGGTTCATCATAAAATAAATAGTTCAAGCAAATCAACACAAAGACATATATAAGTACTAGTATACATAAATAATAGAATGTATAGTCAACCATAATAAAAATAAATGTTAAAGTTGAATGGTAGTGTATAAAAATGTGGGCAACTGATCTGAGATTCAAGATCTTTCACTGAAAATGTAGATAAAGTTCTGGTTTAACTTAATAAAAATTGAAAAACACTTCCCTGTTAAAAAAAAACCTGTAAACAAGTTTATTTGAATACTCAAAAAATTTATAACCAAACTAAATCCAAAATAAAAGAAAGTTAGTAACCAATGTAAAAGATATGAAGTAATATATAATAGTCATATCGTCATTTTTTTTTTCTTTTTACCTGGTTACTATACATCGAAGTTCTTAAATGATACTGAAAATAAGATATAATGTTAATAATAGTGCATTGATGTGGAGCACCTTCTATCTAACTATAATGTTCTATAAAAAACTGATGACAATATAATATATTGATATGTAAAGTTGTCAAATAGTTTAACAGTACCTGCTGCTTTCTTAAGAAATTAATTTTACCAATTAATATTATAGTTTAACTCACTAATATACAAAAACCCTACAAAAAGATTTGATAAAAGTTGTAGGCTACTACGTACTGTGGTCTTTAAACTGATCTCAAGGAAATGAAATGAAATGGAGTTTAACGTCCTACTGTTCTGCTCCGAACTGGGCTAATGAAGACTGGCATACACCATACAGTGTGCTATGAGGGAAATTTTGCCCGGATAGCAGCTCTACAGCCACTCTTATATCGAATTCCAACTGTCAAGGGATCTTATATGTGCACGAAAATGTGTACATCGGACCTCGTTTTTTTCGTCCCATCCAAACAACTAGACAGCTGTTCTTGTCAGGCCCTCCATCCTGCATCACGGACAAGGGGGAACCACGCCAGAAAATCTGGATGAACTTTCTCGGCCAATGCAGGGATCAAACACCTGACCTCGATCTCAAGGAATAAAGTTCAACAGTACAAAAATGGACACAGGTATGTGAACACACAACTCTGTAACAAGAACAAAGTATGGAAAGGTAATCATCAATCATACATCCATTCAAAAAACAATAAAATTATCTTTGGTTGTCTATATCCTTGAAAAAGATTATGAATTGACACTGTGCTTTGCACTATCATTTATTCCATTTCATAATGGGGGGGGGGGGGGAATACTATCAGGAAAGTTGTGATCATGAAAGGAAATAAAATATGGTATAAGTCCTAGTTTTCAGCACCTACTGGGCTAATAAAGACAGGAGCTGTCATCATTTAGATTTCTGCAGCTATATATACATGTATAGACACAGCTAATTTATTTAAAAGAGTTATTAAAACAATGGTAGGTATATTAATAAAATATGGTATACAATATTGTCCATGGCTTATTTTAAGTGTTTTTGTAAGGATCAATATATATACCTTACACATGTGTTTAATGCTTATCTGGCTTGCTGATGTTCCAGTCACCAGGGAATCAACTTATCACCAATGTAAACATGAATCTATCACCTAATACTCAATATAATGCTTGACATGTTGATCAAAATATCTTCAACATGAAAGATTGATGAAATAAGTGTTTTATACATGTGGCTATCAAATAATGTGGTGACAAAATCACAACATAAAATGTGGTTAGTTGTCTTGTCTAAGCCATATCGGTAGAATGTGTCAATATGTCCGAAAAAATTAAAATTACACGCTTTCCTGAGAATTTCACTTTATACCGGATTTGGAAACACTAGATTTGTTCTATAATATCATGCTACTTAAAAACAATGCAAAAAGATTAAAAATCAATGTACTTGATATGTTTTTTCAAACTTTGAGGATATGTTTCATTCTTACATGAACGGTAGGCAATGCCAGAAAGTTTGAAAAAAATCTTAAGAACTTTAAATGGTTGAGTCATTTATACAGGGCTTCTAATGGTAATTACTCTGTAAATAATTGATGCATGACTATGAATTTTGCCAAGGTTCATGTTTATGACTGGGAAAGTATTCATACAGAGCTAGAGAGACTAACGTACTGGGGCGACAACAATATACAATCAAAAATAAACACACTTATATGGATATACTATTTCTGAATTTTATTAATATGCAATCTAATTAAAATATAGAACTATATTTCGTTTCGTTTTTTATACTTTCGATGGCCTACACTACATGTAGATCTAACAATTTATAATGGGGGATTAGGTTCTATGATGTCAGGAACCAAGCAAGCAACATTTGACCCGATAACGTCAGTCATTCAATTAACAAATTAGCGGCCGCCATGGTTTTTAAAATCTACTTTTGCTTTGTTTTGGTTTCTATCGCTGGTAATGTCTACCCCTGTTCTGCGCAAAAAAGGTCAAACGCTCGATTCAACACACCATTTGATTGGCTGATACCTCATTTCAAGCAGAACACGAGTTAAACAAGTCTTCCAGATCCAAATGTAGTAAAGACAAGTAAAAACGAAATTTTTAACTAAAAAAAACCGTAACGAAATTAGATCTGTGTTTTAAACAGATTGATTAATATGCTATGTTTCAATAAACATACAGGTATCATTAATAAAATTCAGAAATAGTATATCCATATTAGTGTGTTTATTTTTAGTAAAATCTATTTCTATATGTCTTATAAGGATTAATATACAATCACATTAACATGTCGGTTTATAAAACTTGTTCAATCCTAGCGAAAAGTTAGAATATTGTACAAACCTTTCCTGAAGCAAATCCTGCTGCTCCTAAAGCATTTTCAACTCTTCGTCTGTCATCTCGATTCTGAGCAACCATCTTTACAATGCTAAAGTGATAAAATCAAATGCTGGGTTTTAGAAGGGTGGGTGCATTAAAAATATTATGTGGATTTTCATGTTCATAACACAGTTTATCTTCCTGGTTTACGACAAAGAAGAAAATGTAATTAAAACAAATAAAACATTAAGATTCCCTAAAGACTAAGGCTGCCATATATATATACATATCTAGGGAAAGATTTGGCCAATCTTTTCTCATAAAGTATCTAGCAACTTTAATTTTCTACATATGCATTATGGTTTTGTATAATTTTATGAAGATGTAAAAGTTATTACTTTTTAACTGGCATCTTTCCATCTGGTCCAAGAACTTGTGTAAATTTGCTGTATACCTTCTCTAAGTAAGTTAAAGAACTGCTGTTTAAAACTAGTAAATTTGTGGAATAATCCAGTAATTCTTTTGCCCATTCCTGAAACATGTACAATACTATACATAGTACTTATTAACTGTAATAAACAGTCAGAACAAATGAGTATTTAATGGGGATGGGAAGTTCTCAGTTTGCTGACTGTTGTACTATTTTAGGAGAGGGGAAATGATACTAACATATGCAATTACTAATGAAGCTTATATCCCTATGCCCCTAAATCCAGGAGGCAGTCCAAAGCGATCAAGTACAGAGAGAGAGAGAAATCAGGTTTAACGTCCACTCGAGACAAACTAGGTCATTTTGGGACTAACATATCGTTAAATTTTATTTCAATAATTCGCTTGCGCGTAGGGGTCTTTAGCAGTGGGAGGAAACCGGAGAACCCAGAGAAAACCCACAAGGTTGGACAGGCGACCCTACTCCTTGTCACGTACAACTGGGGAATTGAAACCCCGCCAGTTGACTCAATGACAGACCGTATCATACAGCGTGCGCGATCTTGCCATCCGGCCACCCCCCCCCCCCCCGATTCAAGCAACCATTGTAATGTTACTACAAAGAATGGGGAAGTTCAATGGTGAATAGCTACTGTAGTATAGCTGAGTGGCCTGTATGTTTTGTATTAAGTTATCCAGATATCAGGGCTCCACAAATGCAGGTCTGAAATTGAACAGTATATACTGTTTCATAATTTCACTTGAAAACAGGGCTCTGTAGAAGGGGAGGGAACTGACCCGACTTCTTCTCACAAAAAACCAGAGAACTGATGTATGATAGATGTATGATCTGAATTTAATGCTTTAAATGAATAAAACATCCGGCCTACCTCATCAATATTACAATGTTTCAGGGTAAGGTTTCTTTCTCAATATACCAGTAATTAATTAAATTTGCATAATTTATACATAAAACTTTTTTATCACCTTGGTATATGTATTTCAACAGTTAAATATATATGGAGCAAGACTAAAACTGCACTTAAAAATTCTTGCTGAAGATGACTGCTAATAAATGCTTGAAAAAATGAAAGCATCCTTCAATTATGAATAATGAAAGCAGCTTCTTGTACATCTTTTTACAATTGTACATCAATTATTGCCTACCGTATGTGTACATCTTCCTGGAGTGCATCTAATTGTTTTGTATTAGAGTGTGAGTGGAAAATAAGTACAAACAGTTAATGGACCATTTATAGATAGCAAGATGTAAAACTATCTATCAAAGCTTCACAGTCTTGATAGGAGCAATTGATGTTATTGTTGATAAACTCACTTGGAGGCAGTTTAACTAGTTTGGGGTGTTAGCTCTAAACAGAGAAAGCAGCCATTTCAAGGAGATGAAATGGGGTTTAACGTCCCATTTAAAGGACAATTTAGGCATCCACAGATTTGGTTAACAGGTTCCAAATCTTTTTGATTGACGTCTGTTAATATTAAAGGGAATGGGAACTTATTGACTCTAGTGACCCAATTCTGGCCTATGGCCACTTTGTTTTAAAATGTAATAAGAACCCTGATGCAGACTTCAACAGTGCACACTGATACAAGCGGTCAATGTTTAGGAGATGTGCTATATCAAGAGCAAGATGGTAAGAAGCAACAAGTCATCTATTACACCCGTAGAGGATTACCTAAAGCCCAAAAGAATTATCCTGCACATAAATTTTGGCTTCTACAGTATCTGTACAGTGTCAGCTTTACTATTTTTAGAGATAACAAATCTTTAAGTTATACCAGCCTAGTTAGATGCCACAATCAACTACTGGTTATCTGCACATTCTAATCACAACTTTTCCATCAAATACAACCCTGGCAAAGGATGTGGAGAATGTAACACTTTAAATACATTAGAAGATACCAACAACCCGGAGAGAGAGATATATTTATCTAGGTGAAGAAGAAATCAAGAATACTGAAACTGCCAATGGATACATTTGGAAAGAAGCAATTTTTATGATGAATTCCGATCAGCTTACAGGACCGGTGATAGCACAAAGACTACTTTGCTGAGGGTCATCAGTAACATCAGTATTGCTGCAGATGATGGTAAGGTCTTATTCTGCATGATCTGTCCACTGCATTCAATACCATCGGCCACAGCATCTTGAAACAAATTTACAGCATTCATGAAACAGAACTTGAATCTTATCTAAATGATCGGGAACATACTGTCACAGTTAACCGATCAAAGTGTAGAACAAAAGTTGTGCAATGAAAGGAGTTCCCCAGGGATCGGTACTTGGATCAATCCTATTGACTGTATACATGAGATCACTCAGTTGAATAGCTGTGAAGTATAACAAAAGTCAACACCAATAATCGACTCAACATTCCTTTTACTGTCAACGAATCTTCAGATACCATTTGAGACTTAGAAACATGCTATGCAGAGATAAAAAAAGTGGATGGCTAACAACTTTCCAAGTAAATAATAACAAGACAGAGATGATATTCACCAGTCCAAAAGAAATAGAAAGACAGCCTCAAATAGAACAGTCCCATAACATTGGAGATTCAAAAATAAATTCATCTTGTAAAGAATCTTGGTGTTTGGCTTGATCAGCAGCTCAACATCAATCAGCAGGTGACTAAGGTTTGTCAGACAGCACATGCATCCCAGGAATATTGAAAGATTGTGATCATCTCACTGTATCAGTGAGAAACATTAAAGCTATAATTTTTTTTTAAAAAAGGTGTGCGTTTCTGTCTCCTTTATTTTCTTTAAAATCTATAGTTAAGTTTATAGTTTACTTTTATTTAGTAATTTTCTAATTTGTTCCAGTACTGGTATTTATATTTATTAAAAATTCTAGGTGTTGGTGTATTTCCACAGCAGTACAAAGTTGATACATTTATTTTAGTATTTATGGTAATTGGTCTTCGTGTTAACGGCACACATTAATTTCAGTAAAAGTTATTTGATGGATTTTAATGCGATAAGTTTATACATATGTCATACATTACATAAACATGCAGTTACATGGCAATAATATTTTATTACAGACTTGCATTGTTTAGGCTAGTTGGTTTCTCTTAGAAACCCTACTTTACCGCAACCTGGTTCATTATTATTATTCTAATTAAGGCATTATTATTCTTTTTATCATTGCGATTATATTGAAGATAAGGATAACAGTAGTTTTATAAGTATATTCCATAGCGTCATTAAATAGAACATTTTAAGTACAAAGAAAAGAGTTAAAGTGAGATTATAAACTGTTTTTAATCACTAATTTTACTTTTCAAATTGTGCATAACTATATTCTCTTGTTATGTATTGTAGTCTTTATGTTATTTGTATATTTGCATTAGTTTTTTTTTACTTGGGTCATATCAAACTAAACACCCGTGGTCATTTTTAGCCCCCAGCATTTGATCCCTTTCAACAATCTACAGATTTTCATAAGTGATCTATGTGATTAACAAGTCACTCATACAACTGAGCAGTGGAATTTTATAATTTATGAGATGCATATGTAACCATGTTAAATGGGGTTTAGTGTCTTATTGTTCTGCTCCAACTGGGCTAATGAAGACAGATGTAACTTTGTTAAGCAAATCTTGTCAGCACTTCCTTATAGCTCAAAAATTTGAGCTGAGATTTCAGATTATCTAGTTTTGTTACTTTGTTGGCTTTTAATTTGTATATTTAAGCCAACTGTTACCCGCTGAAATCTGTGACTTTCCCTTTGAACTTTATGGAAGGGTAAGTTGAAAACTAGCTTCAGATGACCTTTGAGCAGAATTTATAACTCTAGTTCGGTAATGCATCATTACTGCTTTTAGATGCAACCATGGCACGTGTTTAAAATATTAACTTTTAAACATACATTATGCAAGAGCTAAATCTGCCAATTTCAGGTCTTTCTTTAGGCCTGAAATGTTATATAAATTATTAATTAGACATTAATTAACTTATCCAGACCATAATCAACTATTGATGACATCGCTAGCCTGTGATATTTACTGGATTATGATCCCATTTGCTGCTCCATTTCCATTCATAATTTAATCATGAAATGGATGATCGAGACTATGTTTTTTATTGTACAGACTTTAGTAATGATGATCGAGGCTAGGCCGAAATTTCAATCGCTTAATTCTCGGTACATAGTGGATCAATTTGACTGAAATTTTCAGCAAATTGCCTTTACATTTTCTAGTTTTTAACTATTACAGTGAGAACTGCCAGCTCTTTAACCTACCTGTGCTGTTTCTTTCTGACTACAAACAAAGTTGATCCAATCAATGTTGACCATATCAGTACCATAACCTACAGATAATGTTTTATCTTCTAGTGGTATATCTGCTGATCCAATCATTAACGATTCTCTCAACTTTAAATCCTGAAAATAAAATTTAAATCATCATGAAACTATTACACTTTAATATTTTGAGGTTATTTATGAAATATTACAACCAATTTTGGCTAGGCACTTTATTATGAACTAGTGTGTACACAGTACCGGAGCACCTTGTTGTCAGTCCCATATACCTTATCTCCGACATTTAGCTATAGGAACCAGAAATTTTTTGATTTACTCAAACATGGATTCAACAATACCAAACATTTTTGTCTTGGGTCTAATGTCACAACCACTGCTCCCTGCTTATTTAAAGATCCATTGAATGCCATTTAATTTATGAAATTACCAATATAAGATTTTCTAGGAAAGTACCTGTAAACTCAATCTGATTAAAATACAGATCTATATTTCGTTTCGGTTTTGAATACTTTCGATGGCCTCTACTACCAGTTGTAGTGGGAGGTCATGCCAGGGGTCATACGAGTGGCTTGTGACCCTATGACGTCAGACATTTGATGAACCAATTAGTATTGATGTTTCTAGTAGGATACCCACAGAGTTCCGTGCATCGAACACCTAGAACTCGCTGCAACAGACCATTTCATTGGCCAATTCGCATCAACCAGATCACAGGCTGTATAACAAGTCTTCCAGATCCTAGTGCAGTAAAGACAAGTAAAACAAAATTTTGAACAATAAAAAACGAAATAGGATCTGTGTTTTAATCACATTGCTGTAAACTATTTGCCCTACACATTTGTTACTGTACTTGCTTAAAAAACATTAAAAGAATACTTTTCGATGTTTCACCAAAATAAATTAGTAATTCTTCCATATGTATAAGTCATAGTTTATTGCCCTATCCAGGTACTAAATGCCTCTAAATTAAACTAGAAACTTAATTAGAATCAACATTATCCGGTCCCAAAGCATTATAAAAGTGCTTACTTCTACATAGCCCAAGCAGACAAAGATGATCATCAATCTCAGTTAAGACATTCACCTAATGAACGCCCACAAAAGTTTGAACATTTCAGCTCAATTAGTATTATTGTGCTTCAAAGAGTGTGACAGACAGACAAAGACAAGACAAATGAACCCATTTTAATAGTCCCCTGCTTTATCCCAAAAAATATTTTTGAATGGGCGTCAAAATCAGAAGTACAGTGGAATACAAAAGTACCACTAAAAATTGCCGTGAACCCAATAATTTTAACAGTCCTTAATTATATTTTACGGTGATTTTTGCATATCAGAAATAGCAGACTACAATTATTTGGTAATTTCTCCGCTTGAATGTTAAGGTTTTATCTAATTGGAGGTTTCAATATCATGTCTATAATAATCTATAATTTCATTACAAAATGTTACAAGTTATTGATAAACCCTAATATACACAATTAACTATAGAGGCATATCCAGTCAAACTTAATTAAAACTATGAACTTTTCGGTGACTTTTTTTCATAATCATTAAGTAATTGATGAAAAGAACTGACAAATAAATTGATCCACAGAAATGTCAAATTGATTGATACATTAATTTATACCTCACTATGACTGAGTTATTTCGGATATTGATTGAAAATATTAATCAAAAACTGGAATTGAAGGACCAGTTTTTCTAACAATTTAATAATACTTAAACATCTATGATAAATAATATATAGACCAGCTCAATTATCAACACTTCAGAAAGTGCAAAAGGGACTTTTTTTTATAAAAAAAATTCAAGCGGTACAACCACAACTGTAGAGTATTCTCTCTAGATAAATTTAAATTTCATAATGAGTACTCTGATCAAAATATCAAAAGTTATTTAATCCATATTTCATTTTCATTGTCTCATGTTCAGTATTTTATATTTCACTGGATTAAGTTAGACTTAACATATGAGTGGGTTGGTGACTATCAAGCTTCATCACTAACTGGTGTTAGCCAAGATAGAGATAGTTCATTGGGATTTTCCAGCCAGGTTTCCCCTTGTCAGTGTTGCAGGACAAAGGACTTGGCAATGAAAAACATCTAGTCGTTCTGATGAGACGAAAAATCGTGCTTCTGTGTATACCGCTGGAAGCACATTAATTAAGATCCCCTGAAAGTTGGAAATCAAAATAAGAATATGCCACAGCACAAAATTTATGCTAGAGTACATTAAATGGCGTATGCCTATCTTAATTAACCCAACTGGTGCACAATTTCATTAAACATTTGACAAACTTGATTATTATGTTTTGTTGTTACTTATGTAGACATCACAATTTAAACAACAAATCAAAACATAATTCTTCCTTCACTGACAGACAGAGAGAGAGAGAGAGAGAGAGAGAGAGAGAGAGAAAGAGAGAGAAATGGGGTTTAAAGTCCACTTGACACAAACTAGGTCATTTTGGGACTAACACATGGTTCAATTTCTTTTCAATAATTCGTAGGGGTTTTTAGTAGTGGGAGGAAACCGGAGGACCCAGAAAATATCCACGAGGTTGGCAGAGAAAGTACCTCATAGTACACTAGATGGCATAAGACCATCTTCATTAGCCCAGTCAGAGCAGAAAAGTAGGACGTTAGACCCAATTTCATTTAATTGTCATTTCTTTATTTCATTATTTATCTATCATTTATACTGGTTATAACAACATTTATTGTCAGTTTTTCCAAAAATTATCCCATGAATTTTACAGAAAAATTGACTAAACCAATAAAAACTCCCCTAAGCTTTTATTTCAGGTATTTTGAGTAAGCTACTTAATACCGAGATAGTCAAGCACATCACACCTCCAGGCATTTTTTTAATAAAATAGTCATACTTTGATATTTACTCTTTCAGTGCAATTACTTTTATCAGAGGAAAAAATCAAACTAAGATTAACACCACTAATAAACCGGTATTTACTGACCTAAAATAAAGACTCACAAAAGATGTTTTAGATAATGCTGCAATTACTTGCCTTAAAAAGCTTGGGAGATTTTGATTTTCACAAATCAATAGCAAAAAATCACTAAATTGGAGCAATGATGAGAAAAAGTTGATGATGTAAAGATTGGTTACCCAGCAACCTAATGTTTATGTTTTTTTGTTGTCGTTAACCTTCTCAAATCATAATATTATCTTAACTTTTATCCTGTATACTCACATTATAACATACTGAGATGCGATGACAACGCACCACTTTAATAAATGGAAGATTGTATATCTTGTATCAGATCATGATCAGAACATAGAATGATCAGTTCTCTAGGACATGAAAGATAGGGGGCCAACAATAGCTAAGTGGTCTGAGCATTCCACAAATATTGTTGCATATTTATTCATCATTCAAAAGGACATTAGTGCCACAGCCACTGGAGGCACTGCAACAAAAGTGGATAAGGTTCCCCAAAGCTGCCACTGCTTTTTATTTTATTTGGCCCTTTGACCTTTTCCCCTTGAACTTGTAATACAAGCAAATGCAGGCTATTTATGAAAGATACGACTATTCACTTCCATCGCCTCTCATAGGGTGATATCATTTCCTAACTCATTCAAGATGAGTATCACATCACTCAAAAATTCATTTTTCTATGAGTGTAGGAAACAAATGTAATCCAATCGCCCGCATTTGTTTTCATCCAGGCAACATGCTTGGGTGACTGAAATTAAATTTGCTGTGAAGAGTTCCACATTTAGCATGCCAGGAACAGTTCTGAGAACTGTTATTGTATAGCAATGCATATGGTGCAATTTCTTGAATTTTATTGCAATTAAGTGTAAATGTAGCTAATGGTTCATTATAAAGCTGTTTTGACATCAGATTTTCTTGTGTTTGTAAATGTCCTTCCTACAATCATGCTGAAAATCACATTTCAGCTGCATTATGTCTTGCCAGCAGAGGTTCTTTATCTGTGAACATACTCTCAAAGCATGTCATGTGTCCATGACTATTTATCATATCACAACCTGCATCCGTATTTGAATTTCAATATCCCCTACTTTTTTTGAAGAGTATATGTCAGTATATTAATCTAACATTGTTGGTTCAATAAATATGGATGAATAGTATTGGAACAGCCAGGCAGACAGAGAGATCTGGTAACTGCCACTGCCTAGTCATTTTGGATGCCACATAGAATAAACCTTTATTTCATTAATTCACTTCTCTGCAGTGTTCTTTTTCTTTGGCAGAACAAGACAAATGTGAGAGTAACACAACCCCTTTATCATCAGATGTGGGACAGGATGGGCACTCAAAGCACATGATTATGATATAGACATTATGTGATATCACAATTAATGCTTTGCATCCATGAAATTGAATCACAATGTCATTGTATTAATTCATAATAAAATTGACGTCAAACAAGGTGTTGAATTTCTCTGTTTAAAAAGCTCAATGTGTATGTATATACACCAAAATGACGATAGAGACCATGCGGGATGGGGGGGGGGGGATCAGTGGAGATACATTGTCTCAGGAACCTAGCAAACCCCCTCCTGCAAAAATTCCTGGATCCGCCCCTGATGGACTCTTTTTTTTTAATCTGATTGAATGAAAGCCGAGAGATTATCTACTGTTGATATTTTGGTTTTCTTCCCTTAATCAAACCAAAAATAATCAAACTAGATTGTTTTTAAAAAAATAATAAATATAACATGTATCTGAAAAATGCATGATGACAGAATCAAACTGATTCCAATCCATTTAGAACAAATGATTTTGTAAGTACATTTGATGTAAAGGTAATTGATTATATGTCAGGTAACGAGCGTGACTTATCATTGTTTTCTATTACAGAAAATGGTATGGTGTCGCCTGGCACACAAAATCAGTGCCAACTGTTGGGCGGTACCTAATAACATCATATTTATTTATAACCAATTATTGATCTAAATATTCATCAAAATATGATGATACTACATGTAATAAGCTTTTGGTGTGGCATTTTATAAATCTTATTAATAATTGATTCATCTGACATTCTATACCATTATTTTGTCAACTAAGAAAGGATTTGCTATATTTGAAAAGCTGCTTAGTTAGGTGATTAGCTTATAAATCTAGA